TCTCCCCTTTCTTCCCGTCGCTTTTGTACTCTCCCCTCCCATCCGCTGGTTATTACATTGCCAAACTTATTTTCTCCACCCTTTTTTTTTTTACTTCTTTCAGCCCCAAGTCCAAGGATACGTATTTTAGCGCAGCTCTGCTCTCATCTCTTGCATATGGGTGTGTGCTGGATTTTCCCTGTGTTGTTGATTGATGTGAGTTTAGGTGAAGTCACATGAGCGCTTGAGTGAATACAGGCATTGCAACCCCTTGCGCCAAATTCGCACACAAGTACCGTCAGCCCCCGGATAGAAGCGCCCCTGGGGTTATAAAAAAACACGTTTTTTTAGGGGGTGCGCTTATAATTGAGGATTTTTATAAGCGCCGGTGCTTATATAATAGCATATGTGAACTTCGTCGTTTTCCCACCAAACTGTAGATCCCATTCTTGCGAATTGAATCGAGTCGAAACTATACAGGGTTCGATTGAGAATCTCGCGTGCAAGTTGGCAGGGATTGATTCCCTGCCAACACACACAGTCAGAATGTGAAACAAAACTGTACAAAGCTGTGATTGAGAATCTCGCGTGCAAGTTGGCAGGGATTGATTCCCTGGCAACACACACAGTCAGAATGAGTCAACGTGCGCCCTTGACAGCTCATTCTGACTGGACGCGTTGCCAGTGAGCCGGGCGAGGGTGAGGGGGCATCGAAATTCAAAATGTGGGAATAAAAATATTGAGTTTCGTTACAACGATTTCAGTAAAATTATAATAAAAAAGAAGAGGGTGGCGCTTATAATCCGTAAGCATTCAGGTGTGCGCTTATAATCGAGGACCGGATATAAGCGCCATCATCCTTTTATAAGCGCCGTCGCTTATCCGAGGCCTGCGCTTCTATCCGGGGGCTTACGGTATGTGTGAGTTGTGTGTGAGTTTCGCTGCCAATCAGAATTGTACACATGGTCAAAATGTTCTCCATTCACAATGAGACTCATATGGAGTGGAAAAATAAAAAGCACAGCTCTTCCAACTTTCCGAAGTGTTCCCAAAAAAACTCTGTTTTGAAGTGGACCCAACTAGAAGGGGGGGGGGGTCACTATTTTAGCTGCTGGCTTTATGAAAAAAGCAAACAATGAAAAAAATATTACCGGTATATATAAAATCAGCAACAGTGAAAGGAACAAAAGATTGTCAGGTTGTACCGTCATACCCCGGATATAAGCGCCACCCGCGGATAAGCGCCTGGCGCTTTTAATTGGCGTGTGGCGCTTATATCTGGTGCTCGATTATAAGCGCACCCCCTGAAGGCTTACGTATTATAAGAGCCACCATTTGTATTAGTTTTTATAAAGTTAGTGGAATCTCTGTAGCAAAACACACTATTTGCATCCTCACTTGATAAAATTTCGACCCTTCACCCTCGCGCGACTCACTCCCCCACCCTCACGCGACGCAATTGACTGCGCGTCCAGTTAGAATGAGCTGTCATGGGGCGAAATGACTCATTCTCACTGTGTGTGTTGGCGATTTGCAAACTGTCAGAACTTTATAGCTTACTCATTTGTGTAGGCTATAGTGGGGTATCCCATAGGGGGTACAATCCCATTAGGGTTTCCTATTTGTACTCACTTCATTCATAGTCATTTCATTCTCGTTCACTTCTTCTCATGGTATCGAGCAGGTTCCCCTGTGGGAACTGTGCTTAGGGCCCACCACCACTACCTTGATTTTTTTTTTTTTTTGCCCTAGCAGCTAGCGCGCCGCCCGCCCTAGCAGCCCGAGCGCCGCCTTAGCGCCCGCGCCCCGCTGCCCGCCCTAGCGCCCGCGCGCTGCCCGCCCTAGCGCCCTAGCGCCCCGCTGCCCGCCCTAGCGCCCTACCGCCCGCGCGCTGCCCTACGCAGCGCGTGAGCGGCTCGCGTGAGCCGCCCGTGCGCCGCCCAGAGCCGCCCGTCAGCTGCCTGCCCGTGCGCTAGCCGCCCGACGCGCCAGGCGCCCGACGCCCGCTAGCCGCCCGACGCCCGCTAGCCGCCCGACGCCCGCTAGCCGCCCGGCGCCCGCTAGCCGCCCGACGCCCGCGCGCCGCCCGACTCCCGCTAGCCGCCCGTCGGCCGCCCGTGCGTCGCCCTCAGCAGCCCGACGCGCCGCCCGTGCAGCCGCCCGTGCAGCCGCCCGTGAGCTGCCCGTGCGCCACCCGACGTACCGCCCGTGCAGCCGCACGTGAGCCGCTCGTGCAGCCGCCCGTGCTGCCGCCCGACGTGCCACCCGTGCAGCCGCCAGTGAGCCGCCCGTGCAGCCGCCCGTGCAACCGCCCGTGCAGCCGCCCGTGCAGCCGCCCGTGCAGCCGCCCAACGTGCCGCCCGTGAGCCGCCCCAGCCGCCCGTGCAGCCGCCCGTGAGCCGCCCGCGAGCCGCCCGTGAGCCGCCCGCCACGACGCCCGCGCCGCCCGTGAGCCCCCGCGTCACCCGAGCCGCGCGAGCCACCCGAGCAGCGGAGCCGCCCGAGTCGCCCGTGCCGCTGCGTGCCCGAGCCGCCCGAGCCGCCCGAGCCGCCCGAGCCGCCCGAGCCGCCCGAGCCGCCCGAACCGCCCGAGCCGCCCGACCCGCCCGAGCCACCTCGGGAGCCGAGCTGTTGGTCCTGTGGGGCTGCTGTTGCTACTGGGCCGGCAGAGCTGCTGTGTTGCCGTGTTACTGTGCGAGTGAGCTGCCCGACCCGTCCTGTCTGGTGAGCACAGCTCCACTGCTACTGCATGCCCCTTCCCGCACTGCTTGCACTGCTAGTCTGTCGTCATGGCTACCCCTAGTGTCCTAGCTTTTGACGCTGAGGGTCGCGCCATTGACTTTGAGGTCTGGGTCGACGACTTGTAGCTGTTCTTACAGTGCGATAGGGCAGACGGTCTTTCTCTCTTTGACCTCACCTCTGGTGCCGTCCCTGCCCCTGCTGCTGATGCTGACGCCGCTGTTCGCTCACAGTGGGCCACGCGCGATGCTGCTGCACGTCTTGCAGTGCGTCGCCACCTGCCTACCGCTGAGCGCGCGCACTTTAGCCAGTACAAGAGTGCCCATACCTTGTACGACGCTGTAGTTGCGCGCTACTCCTCCCCTGCCACTGCTGCACTGAGCCGCCTCATGCTCCCATTCCTCTTCCCTGACCTTGCCGCCTTTCCCACTGTCGCTGACCTCATTACGCACCTCCGCACTAGTGACACTCGCTACCGCGCTGCGCTTCCTGCTGACTTCTGCGCCAAGAACCCCCCCCCCATGTACATCACTCTCTACTTTTTAGTCACTCGCCTCCCTGACTCCCTTCGTGTAGTCCGGGTTCACTTCCTCGCGGTCTGTCCCACCACCCTCACAGTCGACAGCCTCGAGAAGGCCCTCCTAGCGGCGGAGAAGAGCATAGTCGCTGTAGGAGCCTCTCGAGGTGACCCCCGCGCCCCCATTTTTGAGGGGTGTTCTCCTTCCCCTCTCTTGCCCTCTGTCGCCTCTGCCGCTGCGGCCGACCTCGTTGGTCTTGAGTCAGTCGGTGCGGCGTCTGCCCCTAGCGGGAGACGCCGCTCTGGCAAGGGCAAGGGGGGCAAGGGAGTGGGTGGGGCCAGCGGGGGCGGTGGAGGTGGCGGTGGAGGCGGCGGAGGGAGTGGGGGTGGCGGTGGAGGTGGTGGCGGTGGTGGGGGTGCTAGTGGCAGCAGTGGAGGCGGGGGTGGCGGCGGCGGTGGCGGTGGGAGCGGAGGTGGCGGAGGCGGCGGCGGTGGAGGCGGAGGCGGGGGTGGCGGTGGCGGTGGCGGTGGTGGAGGTGGTCGGAGTGGCACTTCGCAGCGGAGCAGCACTGGGGGTGGTCAGCGCCAGCAACAGCAGCAGCAGCGTTCTCGCGACCTCCCGACGCCTCAGCAGCTCCGTGAGTGGTACACACAGCGTCAGCGTGGTGGGGGTTTTGGTCCCTGCACCTACGTCCTTCGCACTGGCGACCGTGCTGGAGAGCAGTGTTGGGGTACCCACACCGCCCAGCGCTGCTTTGGCCGCCTGACGGACGCTTGGCGCCAGCAGTTCCCGGAGGCCGCGGAGATCCCCCGCTGGGGAGAGCTGTCTAGGGCTGGTGTAGCTATCTTTGATCTTGACTTCGATGCTATCCTTGCTGCCATGTATGCTGTGACCATTAGTGATGAGGGTGACTGTTACCGGTGTTTCCCGCCCGACCCGGGCATTGGTACTGCTGCTCTAGGTGTCCGTACGGCTTCTGCTCTAGGTGCCAGTGCGTCTGTGCTCTCAGGTACTGGTGAGGGTGCTCTCTCAGGTACTAGTGAGTCTGCGCTCTCAGGTACTGCGTCGGCCTCGGCCTCCCACACCTTCACTCTTGACTCTGGAGCGTCTCGCTCCTTCTTTCGGGACCGCACCACACTCACGCCGCTTAGTCGGCCGGTTGCGGTGTCCCTGGCTGACCCCTCTGGGGGTCCTGTCCTGTCTCGCTTCTCCACAGTCCTCCCGTGTCCGGCGGCTCCCTCTAGCACCCTGTCTGGTCTCTACCTCCCTTCGTTCTCTACGAACTTGGTGAGTGGTGCTGACCTACAGGATGCGGGAGTCCACCAGTTCACCCCTGCTCGTCAGTGGGTGACGCACTGCACAGAGGCTAGCACAGGTCGCCACCTGGCTACGTTTACACGTCAGCCTGGGTCGAGCGTGTACACACTGACCACTGCTTATCCTCCAGTTCCTGAGTCTGGTAGGGTCCCTTTGTCAGGTCAGGTGTTTGCTGCAGCGTCCAGGTCTGGTCCTGAGTCTGCCCCCTGTTCGTGTCGTCGCCTGTCTCACGAGACTCTCCTCTGGCACCACCGCCTGGGTCACCCCTCTTTGCTTCGGCTCAGAGGCATGGCCTCCCGTCTTCTTGTGTCTGGTCTCCCCCGGTCCCTCCCTCCCCTTCCTCAGGGCCCTGGCCCTGCCTGTGTCCCCTGTGTCGAGGGGCGCCAGCGTGCTGCCCCTCACTCCTCCCAGTTTCCTCCGACAGAGGCTCCGTTGCAGACGCTTCATATGGACATGTGGGGCCCTGCCCGCGTCCGTGGACTCGGTCACGAGCGCTACTTCCTGTTGGTGGTTGACGACTACTCGCGTTACACCACAGTCTTCCCCTTGCGCAGCAAGGGTGATGTCACTGAGGTGCTGATCGACTGGATCCGCGCAGCTCGTCTCCAGCTCAGGCAGAGCTTTGGCTCGGACTTTCCTGTGCTGCGTCTGCACTCGGACAGAGGCGGAGAGTTCTCCTCAAACCTTCTGCGTGCCTACTGTCGTGCGCGAGGCATCCGTCAGACCTTCACGCTTCCGGACTCACCGCAGCAAAATGGGATTGCAGAGCGCCGCATTGGCATGGTCATGGACGTCGCTCGTACGTCTATGATGCATGCGGCTGCCCCCCATTTTCTGTGGCCGTTTGCGGTCAAGTACGCGGCGCATCAGATCAACCTCCACCCCAGGGTCTCCAGGCCGGAGACCTCCCCAGCGCTGCTGTGGACGGGGAAGGTTGGCGATGCGTCGGCGTTCCGGGTCTGGGGATCTCGGGCGTTTGTCCGCGACTTGTCTGCGGACAAGCTGTCCCCTCGCGCTGCTCCGTGCGTCTTCCTGGGGTTCCCCCCCGACGCCCCTGGGTGGCAGTTCTACCACCCCACCTCTCGCCGTGTTCTGTCCTCCCAGGACGTCACGTTCGACGATTCGGTACCCTACTACCACCTCTTCCCCTACCGCACTCCGTTCCTCCCCCCACCCCCGCTCTTCTTGGTACTTGGTCCCCCCCCGGTAGACCCCCTTCCCCCTCAGGGTCCTGCCCCTTCAGGTGTGTCCCAGGTAGACGCGGTCGAGCCTGTCGAGGTCACTGGTGACTCTGGTGCTGCTGTGGGTGCTGAGCCTAGGGGTGCTGTGCCTGGGGGTGCTCAGCCTGGGGGTGCGGAGCTTGGGGGTGCGGAGTCTGGGGGTGCTGAGCCTGGGGGTGCTGAGCCTGGGGGTGCTGAGCCTGGGGGTGCTGAGCCTGGGGGTGCTGAGCCTGGGGGTGCTGAGCCTGGGGTTGCTGAAACTGGAGGTGTTGCGCCTGGGGGTGCTGAGCCTGGGGGTGCTGAGACTGGAGGTTCTTCGCCTGGAGGTTCTCCGGGTGCTTCGTCTCGGCGAGAGCCACTCTCTCCACAGGAGCTGCGCGAGTGGTTTGCCTGGCGCTGGAGGCGTGCTGCTGGTGCTGGAGGTTCTTCGGCTGCTGAGGGTGCTGCTGCCGCGCGTCCCGGAGGTGCTCGTACTGGGAGTACTGAGCTGCTGGGCCTGCGGGTTCTCCTGGAGCTGGTGCTGCTGAGCGTGTTGGCGCTGAGACTACCGCTGGCGGTCCGCCTGGCAGTGCTCCTGGTGCTGGTGGTGGTTCTGGGGCTGCTGGAGGTGCTGCTGGGGGTTCTAGAGCTACTGGAGGTGCTGCTGGAGCGGGTACTCCTGCTGGGGGTACTGGTGCTGTCCCTGCTGTTTCTGGCGTCGCCACGCGGCCCCGACCGTACTTCGTTCCACTCCTCCAGCAGGTTCTTGGTCTTACACCTCCTCCTGGTCCTCCTCCTCCTCCCTTAGAGGGTCCACAGCCTGTCCAGTCACCGTCACAGCTACAGCCTGCCTCCCCTTTGCCTGCTCCTTCTCCCTACACTGGTCCGACTGGAGGTCTTACTGAGCGTCGTGAGCCTGCATCACGTCTTGCGTCGCCTGTTCGTGCTGCGCGCGCTAGTGGTCGCGGTTCGCGTCAGCGTCCTCCTCCTGTCCCTGGCACGCACCGGATGTCTCTGCGTCCGTCCACTGCTCCTCTGCGTGCCCCTTTGCCTTCTCCTCCTGCTTCCTCTCTTCCTGCTCTTGCCGACCCATAGTCGGACTCTCTTCGTGCTGCCAGTCCTACTGTCACGTGTCTCCTTGCTACTGCCGTCACTGACCCTTCTTTTGAGTCTTGTGCTGCGTCTGCCCTTGTTACTGAGCTCGTCGACTTTGCTGCGCGCTGTCGTCTAGACTACGCTGCTAGTCTTGTCGCTGAGTCTGAGTCTGCCTGTCCTCCGTCCGTCGGGGTTGAGTGTGCCCTTGGCACGGACGTCCTTGAGGACAGGCAGGAGGAGTTCCAGTGTCTGGGCGCCGCTTCACCTCATCTCGCGTCTGTACTGCTCACCCCTGAGGGAGACCCGGATGCACTAGACATCCCGACTCCGCGCTCTTACGCGGAGGCGATAGAGGGTCCCTACTCCTCTCAGTGGCAGGCAGCTATGGATGCAGAGATGGCTTCTTGGAAGTCCACAGGCACCTACATTGACGCTGTCCCCCCTCCTGGGGCGAACATCGTCAGTGGCATGTGGATTTTCAGGGTGAAGCGGCCGCCGGGTTCTCTGCCTGTCCTCAAGGCGCGTTACGTGGCTCGTGGCTTCAGTCAGCGGCAGGGAGTTGACTACTTTCAGACCTTCTCCCCCACCCCGAAGATGACCACTCTTCGGGTACTGCTGCACGTTGCTGCTCACCGTGACTACGAGCTGCACTCTCTCGACTTCAGCACTGCTTTCTTGCAGGGCAGCCTGCACGAGGAGATCTGGCTGCGTCGCCCACCTGGCTTCACTGGGTCTTTCCCTCCTGGTACCCAGTGGAGTCTCCGGCGTCCAGTCTACGGTCTCCGCCAGGCGCCGCGTCAGTGGCACGACACACTGAGGACTACGCTTGCGGCACTTGGGTTTGCTCCTTCCACTGCAGACCCGTCGCTGTTTCTGCGCACCGACACCTCTCTGCCGCCGTTCTACATCCTGGTGTACGTCGACGACTTGGTCTTTGCCACAGCTGAGACTGCTGGACTCGCCTACGTGAAGTCCGAGCTGCAGAAGAGACACACGTGCACTGACCTGGGTGAACTGCGCAGCTACCTTGGCTTGCAGATCACCCGGGACAGAGCACGCCGCACCATTACCCTGACTCAGTCACACATGGTGCAGCAGGTCCTTCAGCGCTTCGGCTTCACGTACTCCTCGCCTCATACCACTCCTCTGCCTACTCGCCACTCGCTCTCAGCTCTGCCTTCGGATGAGTCCGTAGAGTCGAGTGGCCCGTATGCAGAGCTTGTTGGCTGCCTCATGTACCTGATGACCTGCACACGACCTGACCTTGCATACCCTCTTAGCATTCTCGCACGCTATGTTGCTCCTGGGAGACACCGACCAGAGCACATGGCTGCAGCGAAGAGGGTGTTGCGCTACTTGTGCAGTACGTCGGGCATGGGGCTAGTGCTTGGAGGGCGTAGTCCAGTGGGCCTCACTGGGCACGCGGACGCTTCTTGGGCTGACGACCAGGCTACGCAGCGGTCGTCACAGGGTTACACCTTCAGCCTTGGTTCCGGCTCTGTTTCGTGGCGGGCTACCAGCTCGTCTTCTGTTCTCGGCTCCAGTTGTGAGGCTGAGATCTACGCCGGGGCTATGGCGGCCCAGGAGCTTTGCTGGCTCACCTACCTGCTGACTGACCTAGGAGAGCCGCCTCGTTCTCCTCCAGTCCTGTACGTAGACAACAAGGCCATGCTGGCCTTGTGTCGAGAGCAGCGACTGGAGCACAGGACAAAGCACATTGCTCTCCGCTACTTTCTTGCTCGTGAGTTACAGCAGCGTGGACAGTTGCGACTTGCGTACGTGGCCTCTGAGGCCAACACTGCTGATGTCTTCACCAAGGCACTTGCGCCTTGTGATCATCAGCGCTGCTGCACGCAGCTGGGTCTTGTGCCTGTCTTGCCTCACTTACTCACTTCTTGACCTTGCTTGTACCTTTACCTATATATACTCTTGCTCTTGCTTGCTTGACTCTTGTATATCTCTATATGTGATCTTGCATGTGAACTGGCCTTCTGGCCTTTGAACTTGTGCTCGGAATGTGTGGTGACTTTTTGATCCACCCTGAGCTTTGATTTGCTTTGCTTGCCTGGTCTTGTGACCCCTTGTTCTCCCCCACTTTGCTGTCAAATGTTGTAGCCTGTAGTGAGGTTTGTCTTAGGGGGCACAGAAGTTAGGGTTTGTTATATGTACCCCAACCAACATCAATGGCATCCATCATTCCTCATTTTGACATGGTATCAGCTAGGTTAGGATCCTGTGGGATCCTGTTCCTCCGTTCTTCGTTCGTCCCTCCCGAGCCTGATCCTACCTCTCGTTCGTATCGGTTCCGCTGTTACCGCGCCTAGTACCGAGCCTAGCGCCCTCTCCCCCGTCGCTTAGCGCCCTTTCTTCTCGTCGCCTAGCGCCCTTTCCCCCCCCCCCCCCCCCCCCCCGTCGCGTCGCACCCTTTCCCCCCGTCGCCTAGCGCTCTTTCCCCCGGTCGCGTCGCGCCCGTTCCCCCCGTCACGTCGTGCCCGCCCTTTCCCCCCCGTCCCGTCGCCCTGTCCCGTCGCGTCGCCCTGCCCCGTCCCGTCGCCCTGCCCCGTCGCGTTGCCCTGCCCCGTCCCGTCACCCTGCCCCGTCGCGTCGCCCTGCCCCATCGCGTCGCCCTGCCCCGTCCCGTCACCCTGCCCCATCGCGCCGCCCTGCCCCGTCGCGTCGCCCTGTCCCGTCCCTACGCCCTGGCCCGTCGCCCTACCCTACGCCTTGTCCCGTCGCCCTACCCTACGCCCTGGCCTGTCGCCCTACCCTACGCCCTGGCCCGTCGCCCTACCCTACGCCCTGGCCCGTCGCCCTACCCTACGCCCTGGCCCGTCGCCCTACCCTACGCCCTAGCCCGTCGCCCTACCCTACGCCCTGGCCCGTCGCCCTAGCCCGCTCTTCCGCTGCGACTGAGTCCCCTTCCCACCTGAACCCTAATTTGGCTCTTCTCCCCGGTTGTTACTCGCCTGTTCGTTCGCGTTAGTTCTCACTATGGCGACTCCGCGAGTTCTTCGTTTCGACGCTGACGGTAGACCACTTGACTTTTCCGTCTGGCTTCTTCGCGCTCGCCGTCTGTTAGAGAGTCAGGTCCAGGGGGGCGAGACCCTCTGGTCGCACGCTACTGGTGACCTCCCCGAGCCCCCCGAGCCTACAGCTTTAGGCTCTGCCCCTGACGACGCTGCTACGGCTCGCTTTGCCCGTCAGCGCGCTGACCGGACGGCTTGGACGTCGCGTGACGCTGCGGCCTGCATCGCACTCAGCAGCCTCCTCCCTGAGTCAGAGGAGGTCCACTTTACTCAGGTTCGCACCGCTGCTGCGTACCTCACTGCGATTAAGGCCCGCTACTCTACTCCCGCTACTGTCTCTCTTGGCCGTCTTTTCCTCCCGTTCCTGTTTCCTGATCTCGCCTCGTTTGAGCGCTCTGCTGACTTGATCGCTCACCTCCGCTCGCTCGACGCTAGTTACCGCGCTGCTTGCACTGAGGCACAGCTTGCACTGCTTCCTCCCCCCATGGCGATTACTGTCTATTTCATCGCCACTAGCCTCCCTGACCGCCTAGCCTCCGTTCGTGACGCGCTTCTGCTGAAGCACCCTAGTGAGCTGACTATCGAGGTCCTTGAGTCTGCACTCAAGGACGTCGAGAGCAACCTTCGCTCGGTAGCTGCCGCCTCTGGTACTGTGTCCCCCCCACTCTTCCACGGGTGCATAGTCCCGCAGTTACCCACCTTCACTGCCTCTCTCGCCACTGCCGCTACTGACGCGACTGCGGCTGCTGTTACGACTGCGTCGCGGTCCCGCGGCAAGGGGGGCAAGAAAGGTAGTTCTGGTGGAGGTGGAGGTGGAGGTAGCGGAGGTAGTGGGGGTGCTGTTGCGACTGGCGGTGGTGGGAGTGTGTCAGACTATATCTATAGCTTATACTATTGTGTAGGCTGTAGTGGGGTATCCCATAGGGGGTACAACCCAG